GAGGCCCCAAGGGGGCCCGGCTGCCCTGCCCTGCCCTGCCCCACTGTGCCAGCCCCACGCTAGGCCAGGGGCTGAGGACAGCGCCTGGCCGGGCTGCCCCGTGGTCAACAGCAGCCATGGGCACATCCCGTGGGTGCCACAGCCTTGGTCTTGCTGGCTGGTGTGTCCTCAAGCCTCCTGTCAGGATCCACCATTCCCCCCAGCCAGGACAGGGTCCTGCCTGGCTCCATGGGTGTCAGGGTGGGTCCCACACTTGTCCCTGGCCTCTCATGTCCTCCAGCCTTTGGCGCATCCAGCCCCTCTCTTCCCAAAGAGCCCCTGGGCCTCTGAGCAGGAGCCATAGACAAGCCCTCCCGGGTCATGCTGGGGATCTACCATGTGGAGCACCATCTCTCCAGCAGCCTGAAGAAACCTGGGTGGGAAATAACCTCCTTTTTGGGTGAGTGGTCTTCCCAAAGTCCATCCTGTGATACTTGTCAGGCCTGGGCTTCTTCCCTGCTTCCCACCCTGGCATGTGCTCCTGCCTTTCCCAGTAAATGCTGCGACATCCCACAGGGCATGTGGTGGTTGGTGACTATGACATCCTTTGCTCAGCCTCTGTACAAGGTCATTGGTACAAATTTGGGGTTAGGGGCACACCAGATGCTGACCTACCGTCTAAGTTGTGGATTTAAATGTCCAGGTTGTCCGAGACCCACAAATGTAAAATGTTTTAAAAACTGCTGTGGTACACCGGGTGACACATTTAGAGCAATTTGGTGGTTTCAGAACTTCCGCACTGTCTCTCTCCCCCTTGTCCAAACACAGTCCCGAAATTTTGTAAATGAGATGAGGACCACAGCTTGCAGTGCCAGTTCATGTTGTTGATCAGAGTGTGTTTAAGCCTTTGCACCCACCTTTTCATGTCAGATGTCCTCTGAGACAGGCATGGGCAGTGAATGTAACCTGATAAATAATTTTTTTCACAGCAGCTCACATGGTGCTGTGTTTTAGATTTTTGACCAAGCCAGCCCTGATAACACACTGATGTTCTGGCTTTTACTGAGCAGCGTTTGCATAGCATCCGGGCCATCTCTGCTTCTTACACTGTCCCCCCAGTGAATAGATTTTGGGGTGCACAATATGCTGGGACAGACAGAACCGGGCAGATGACCCCAACTAACCAAAGAGGTATTTCATACCATATAAGACCATGCTCAGCAATAAAAGGCTGTCGTGGTTTAGCCCCAGCCAGCAACTAAGCACCACGCAGCCGCTCGCTCACTCCCCCTGCCCCGATGGGATGGGGGAGAGAATTGGAGGAGTAAGAGTGAGAAACACTCCTGGGTTGAGATAAGAGCAGTTTAATAATTGAAATAAAGTAAAATAGTAATGCTAATAGTAACAGTATAATAATGATAATAATAATAATGATACACGAAGCAAGTGATGCACAATGCAATTGCTCACCACCCGCCGACCGATACCCAGACAGTTCCCGAACAGCGATCGCTGCTCCCTGGCCACCCCCCCCAGTTTATATACTGAGCATGATGTCATATGGTATGGAATAGCCCTTTGGGCAGTTTGGATCACGTATTCTGGCTGTGCCCCCTCCCAGTTTCTTGTGCGCCTGGCAGAGCATGGGAAGCTGAAAAGTCCTTGACTAGCATAAGCAGTACTCAGCAACAACTAAAAACATCAGCATGTTATCAACATTCTTCTCCTACTAAATCCAAAACACAGCACTATGCCTGCTGCTAGGAAGAAAATTAACTCTATCCCAGCCGAAACCAGGACAAAGGCAAAAGAGAGGATTTTAGGGAGTTTTAGGTGGGTTGCCCATCTTTTTTGCTCAGGAACTGGCTGGGCATCAGTCTACCCATGGGAGGTGGTGAGTGATTGCCTTTGCATCACCTGTTTTGTTTTATTTTCTTCCCTCTTCTTCCACTTATCCTTCACTTATTAAATAATTATTTTTGTTTGTTTGATCTTGACCCCCAAGTTTTCTTGCTTTTATTCTTCCTTTCCTCTTCCCCTCATCCCATTGAGGGGGAGAAGTGAGTGAGTGACTGTGTAGTGCTTAGCTGCCCACTGGGGTTAACCCACAACAGGTATGTACGGAGCATTACTGTGCTCCCCTCAGGGTGACCATCAGTGCTGTACTCTTCCTTGTTGCTGCTTTCCAGAGAAACCCCTGGGAATTTGTGGTCCCTCAGATGCCATCAACACTGATCTCCAATGGCCACTAGTATTCCCAAATTTCAAATGCATGTAAAGTTCCCCGTATAAAAATAAGAGATGTCAAGCTGAGGGGATGGTCCCTTTACCAAACCGGTCTAGCAGGTGTGATAGCCCAAGGTGTTCATGAAGGACATCAGATACCTCATCCATACCCCATGGAGAGGAGCATGAGAAGACAATGCCCAGCATCGCTCTGGGCACATCACAACATATGGCAATGCAGGTTTTGTTCACAACAGTCTGTGATGGGTTTTGGATAGGCCAAACAAAAAGCCTGGGTCCATTCAATATTCTAGCAGGGTAAAAGACTGTTTCCTGGTCAGCCTGGAAACAGTCTTTGGTGGATATACCTTTGGTGAGCAGTAACAGTCACAGGGCTCTACCTGTTCTGGGCTTCTTCTCAGTGTTATGTTATTCTCACTGAATTTACACATCTTAGCGCATGAATTGGTACATGAATTTACACAGCTTAGTATTTTCCCTTCTGTATTGTGTAGACATTTCAAAACCCCCCTGCCCAAACACTAAGGTGTAGGTGGAACACATGGAGATGAAAGCACAGAGACCATAGCTCATATTTGAATTATTTATTGGTGGGTTTTGCAGATGACCAAGCCCCTGCATAGGTGATTTGAGAGGACTGCATAGGAAGGGGTGAATACCCCTGAGACTGGCAGCTGGGGTGCGCCATGGATGTGCGTCCCTCACCCTCCATGGAGGCCATTTATCTGTACTTCTCAGTCAGAACAGAGGAAACACTGGACAGGAACTTGTCCCATGCAGCATGAACTTCTGGGCTGAAGTCACTGGGATAGCGGGCAGCCACGGAGCACAGGATACAGTGGGAAAGCAGCTGTAAGGGAAAACGGGATGCAATCCATCGTAATCAGTAACAGATGTCAGTCTAGGGGTCTGCAATGGACCTTGGTCCCAGCATGCTCTGGGAGGACAACTATGTGTCCCAACCAGGTAGCGCTGCTGCCTGATGCTATGTGTGAAGAAGCAGAGTAGCCTTTGGTATAGGGCAAAAGGCACTGCTTGATACTACTCCCTCTTTCCAAATGTCCCTTCATTCCTCCCCAAAGGGAAATGCAACAAAGTGGAAATGTTTAGAATTTACTTTGTTAAAGACAGGTGATATAACTTGACTTGTGAGGGAGGTTCATAAATTACAACAAAGGCAGCAGAGAGTCGAGTCTGTCTAACAAACCATAGGAGCCCCCTGAGTAGTTCTTTGCTTGAGCTAGACCAGATCTTTCATTAAAAAGATCATCAGGTGGGGAGCAAGCAGTGACATGAGTTGACAAGGCTGTGCAGTGCAGTCAGGGATCAAGCTGCCATTAGCCAAAATGATCTGTGGTCACTAATTCTGTGATGGCAGTTTTCATCCCTGAAAGTCTCTGTGCTCACTCACCTTGAAGTTCACTGGGTCCACCCTGAGGATGTAAGCATGCAGCTCACTGAGTTTGGCCAAAGCGCCTCTAATGTCATCAATATGCTTCACAGCTTCCCCAATGGCATTCATGACCTTGGAGCCATGACCACGAAGCTGAGCTGAGCCTTGGCTGAGATCAAAGTGAGGGAAGTAGGTTTTCGTCTGGGGGTAGCTGGAGAAAAGCCTGGGGGAGAATATGAGAATGAGATTCATCAGTGGAAGTGACATGCATGAGATGGTAAAACCTCAGAGCAAGTGCAGTGTAAACCTGCCAGCTACAGAAGTACACTCCTTCAGCAATTGTAACAGAGCTCTGGGATCTTGAAGCTTGCATAAAGAAGGTCTTTCTGCTCTTAAACCTCTTCTGCAGTATGTGCAGATTAGACAGTGAGCTAATCTGTATGTACTAGAGAAGAATGAAATGTTAAAAATAATTTTAAACTTAATGTGTTTTTGGGGTTTTTTGGGTATTTTAAAATCAGTAATAGCCCCAAACTGTCATGACATTTCCTATATAACATTGTAAGCCAGTTTGCAGGATCTTCAAACTAATATGAGCTGAACAAACCAGAATTGATATGAGTGGTACTCGGGCTTCTGGAAGGAGTATCACAATACTTTATCTTGAACTATAAATAACATTTAAATAACTTTGAATAACATAATAATTTCGAACGTTTTCCAGACTATTATCCCTTTTGTGCAAGCTGGCTTAATTTGTATTAACTTTGGATTACTGTGCTATACTTCAGGCAGGGGGTCCAGTTGTCTTGTTTCCTAACAGTTTGTTACTTATCAACTGGAACAATGAAACATGAGTACCCAGTGAATTTAGTGGACAGTTATTCTCTTCATGCCTAGAAATTGCAAGAGAAATTGCATCACTTGTACAATAAACCACTTCAATTTCATTTCCTAACTGTGATAACCCTATTTCAGGACACTGAGTATGAATAATTTTGAATTACTCGCCAGGGCTCCTGGCTATGAATTCTTCTGAATTGCTATAATGGGAAATAAACCATGAGAATTGCTTAGAAAAATACGTTTTGCTGTAAGATTTTGAAGCCTTCTATGAGCATTTAGTAGCACAGATATAATTCCATAAAATTACATACCAAACAACATAGAGGTCATCCACCAACTCTCACCAGTCTCAGCGCGCTCTCACCCATGCAAGTTTTACATGAGATGCATCCTAACGGCAAAGCCAGAAGTGGTTCTGGGGGACTTACCTCTCCAGTGATTCTGCCCCAATGGCATCAGCTTGGGTAGCCACCTTTGCCCAGATGGTGACCACGGCAGCCTTCTCGGCTTGAGTCAGTGTCATTGTGCAGGAGAGTGCAGGCCCAGGCTCCTTGCAATGAATACTCAGAGCAGGTTTGGACTCATCTCCCTGGCAGCCCTGGTTATAAAGAGGAAGGGGAGAGTGGACCTTGGCGCCTATCCATGCTCATTGGTCACTCCAGAGGCCCACCCATGGAGGTGGGAGGCTCTTATCTCCCTGTGAAACAATGCCTATTTTGGCAAGGGTCAGTGCACTGGCCTCCTTGCTTGCTGGCGTTATCAGCTTCTCACTTCTTAACGTAACGGCCGTGTGGCCTGAAGAAATTGTCTGGGGACATATTGATACATGAACAGAGAGATAATGCTGGAAAATTCCAGCAACAGAGCATTAGGACACATCTTTAAGCTGAGGAGCATATGGACTTCAAGCATACTAAGGAGCTTGGAGAAAATTTCTGCATTTTCTCCCTTGCTTCACAGGTGTGAACGCAAGACTTCGGGCCTTTCTGCAGCATATCATACACTTCCAGTATATGTGGCTGCCACGTGGCCCAATATTTAATATAAAATTATTCCTAAGTAGTGCTAGGGACAGGCTGGGAGATGCACAGTGTAGTTCAGAGGGGGAGTGACACCCTGATTTTGTGTGAATCAGTGGTGATTTTGCCATTTGCTTCAGCACTGCTAGGACTTCACTTTGCCAGCCTCTTGCAAAGAATTAGGGATGCGCTCCACAATTGATATTGCTTATAACAGCACCAGTAGTAATTATTCCTATGGATACAGGGAGAGGGGGCTTATGAAATTGAGTATGAAAATATGAGCTAGAAAAAAGTACGTGTGTATGTGAGAAAGCCCAGTCAGACTTTTTTTTTTTCATCACTAAAAGCCTCATACTGTATGTCTTTGATTTCTAGTTCCATGATTCTTACTGTTAATTATCCCTTGTACCGTAAAATAGCCCTCAGCACCACAGCCAGGGCTGGCGTGCGTGGTGCTACATGCTGGACATGCACAGGAAAGCCTGGTCCCACAATAGATGGCTTGTGGCTTCAGGGCACAGGCACGCTTGATGGGTGAAGGACCAAAGAAGCAAAGGGAAGGCCAGCACAGGTCTGTAATCACAGATAAGTGGGCAAAGTGTCAAAGAAATACCCTACTGGAGATGGTTGCTGCTAAACCTCAGGGAATGAATATCCTGCTAGCACATGAAGCAGAGGTAAATCTCTCCACCTCCCTGATAAACTACAGCAGCCATACACATCACTACTGAGTGCTGGCAGCTGTGCATGGAAAGGTGGCTGGTACAGTCAGAGAGGTCGACAGTGTTCTCTGCCCAAATAGCCTCGCACACTTGTGCTGAGAAGGTTGATATGTATAAGCCAGATTCCTTGCCAAGATGTGTCTGTGTTTCACAGCAATGCTACTGACAGCTACAGAGGATGCTCCCCAGACATGCTCATCCTGCTAAAAGGAAAACCCTTCTAGGGATCTAATGATATTTGGGTCATGCGTGCATTGGAGTATGTCCAACCTACGGTTACCTGTACCAAAGTAGCAATGCTGGTGCAATCACACTACCCAGCCCCCCTAAATGTCACACAAGAGCATGCACCAAACTTGGAGCTTCTCTTGACAGCCGTGGTGCGGCTGTGCTATGCTGCCGGGCAGGGGGATCTGACTGCCGGCAGGTGCCAGGTTTAGGGTGGGAGCTAGGCTCCCACATGTGCTGTGCTTGCAGCGGAGGTTTCTTCTGTGCCTTCACATGGGGATAGGTCTCTCCTCTCTGGGTATACTCTACAGCCTGGAGGAGTTGATACATTCACTACAAATAGATCCCACTCTCCTGGGGCTGTGGCTCTGCCACCATGTCCTGGGGTCAGGTGGGAATGAACCAGTGGTGCTAGAGGAGCAGTAGAGATGGGGTCGGACAGCTGCTGTGTCCTTTGGTGACCCCAGTGTTCTGGTGGCTGCAGTGGCACTTGCAGAAGGGCTCTGACCCACCCCTTGTGCTTTGCACTGGGCTCTGAATTTAAGCCTCTCTGCATGTGAGCTCTGACATGAAGCAGGAGAAACCTTGGGCTTTCCCAAAGGGCAGGCACAAAGCACTTGATGCTTCTTGGTCTGCAAGCCTGATTGGGTTCGGTGATCTTGTATTATCTTCCACTCTGTGGAGGCCAACACCTTATCTGTGATTTAAGATTGTGTTTGGTACCACAGCTCCCTCCTCAGCCCTCCTGCCCACTGTCTGGGTGGCTGGGTAATTTGCTTCTCAGTACCTCACTTTAAGAGGGGACTCACTTGAGACCCAGTGAAGACAATCGCTTTATAATATGGAATATTATCAGAGTGCTCTTTGTATATCCTCCCTTTTATAAATGCCATACATGTCCACTGAAAACCTGGACCTAACTTTGTCTGGCTACACAGTTGCAGTGCAGAGCAGTCTCCCATTAAAAGTGCCACTGATGGTGTGGGCAGCAATCCTTCAGTCAGGGCACAGGAAAAGGTGATATTCAGTTTATACAGCTTAGATGGATAGAGGTATCAAGGGAGGTTGTATTCATCATCCCTTGCTACATGCATTTCAAAAAACTTGCAGTTTTCCCATAGAAAAATCACTTTGAAAATAAAGATGATGTTGTTAAATACACATTTATATAATGTTTTTGTCTCCTCCCCAGCGTGCTGCCTCTTATATTGCTGGCTGCATGGCTGTGCTCCAAGCTCTCCTCGGTGAGAGCGCTTTTAATCAGAGGTCACTCAATCAACACATGAGGGAAGTGACTGTGACCCAGATATACCCAGGGATAAGGCGGAGACCATCAGGACTCCTTCCTATTTTGCTGTCCACTGTTTAATCTGAACATGGGTACTCCATGACTGTAGGATTAAGGTCTGTGTAGACATGAGGATCAGAGTGATGCCCACACAGGAGGGTTTGTCATCGCTGAAATCTCTATGGAATTTGAGTTCATTTTCTGAGAGTTACTCTTGCACTATCACAAAAGCCAGAGCAGCCAAAAGATGATAGTGCTTTCCTAGAAGGAGCTCTCTGCTTGCCCAGGATCAGGGCTGTGCTGGGACAGGGCTGTGCTGCAGGAACTTCTCAGGAACATGCCTGGTGGGAGAAGCGTGATCCTTGGCCACATGCCACAACGTGACATGGAGAGTGACCGTCCCTGTCCTCACATGGACCTCTCAGCCAAGTTCCTCCATCCCAGTGTCCCAGCTGCCCACTGGGTAGTAAGACATGGAGGTCCTGGCCTGAGCAATGCAAGGAGTTGGACAACATGATCGCTGGTGTTCCTCTGGTCACAGACCAATACTGAAGCTATGTCCTTCATGAAACACCACCAGACTGGCCTTCCTCTCTTGCTACTGTGTCTCATAGTTATGATTCACAGACCCATAGCAGAATGTCCGCCCTTGGGCAGATGGTTTATCTTTGTCGTGAACCTGGGAAATGTCACCAACGGTGACACCAAAGGTGATTTTTAGTATTAACATAGGTCTTTTAATCCTGTTCCAAAAGCAGGCTGCTAGAGTTTCTCATTTTAAAAGGCTAGAAGCGAACAACAGGCATGTTTGCTTGTTATAAAAGCAGCCCTGACTGTAAATCCAGTGACCGATTGAATGGCATGTCTGTGAGATCAGAGATCTCTTTCCCCATGGGCCTGTATTGTCCACAGGGACTGCCTCCCCCTTGTCCACAGGGACTGCCTCCGCCTCAAAGGGAATTCCCATGGATAAGGTGGCACATATGTCTGCTCTAACTCTGAAAATGTTGGGTGTATTAAGTTTTGGAAATCTTAGAAGTGGAATCTGAGTCCTGGCTTTATTCTTGAATTTCCTACCAGCTTGCAACACTTTGCTTTAAGTAAACTATAGCCTCCAAGAGCTGGAAACGGCAAATATGTCTGTAATAAGAAAGTACAATTATGCTTTGAAGCAGACACACTGGGAAATTTTAACGTAGCTGCCCAGTGCTGATGCACAAGGAATGCTCTGCCATGATAATATGACTGCTCTTTAATCACCCTCAGACAACTCTATCCCCTCAGTGACACATTCTCTTGCTTCAATTGTTATCGCTGGCCTTGCAGAGGATGGCCCTGCAGATTACACCCATGCTGTGTGTGCTCATCTCCCTCTTCGGCCACCCACCTCTGCCCGATGTCCCTGAGGGGAACTGCAGAGCAACATCCAGAGTGGGGATATCTCAGACTATTCAAATACCCAAATACTGCAATCAAATGCAGAAGAATTTACATGCAAAACCCAGGGCATCCTTTAACATAATTGCTGATAATTTTCTGATCTCAGTTAAACACAAAATAAGATGAATGCACCAAGACAGCTGCCAGCTGTTAGAATCATAGAATCATAGAATCGTTTAGGTTGGAAAAGACCTTTAAGATCATCCAGTCCAACCGTTAACCTACACTACCAAGTCCACACTAAACCAATCAAGGGTAGACTAGACTAAACCATGTCCCAAAGTGCCACATCTACCTGTTTCTTGAACACCTCCAGGGATGGTGACTCCACCACCTCTCTGGGCAGCCTGTTCCAATTCTTGACCACCCTTTCTGTAAAGAAATTTTTCCTAATTTCCAACCTAAACCTCCCCTGGTGCAGCTTAAGCCCATTTCCTCTCGTCCTATCGCTGTTACTCTTACTAATCTAGAGGCAGAAGTAACTTTACAGGAACCACAAGGCAAGTTGTATCAGTGCTATAAAGCACCCTGAGATGTCACAATGAACCTGAGAAACAAGATCAAGCGCGCCTTCCCAGGGGCATGGGGAGCCCAAAGGTCCGATTTCCACTGCCTGCCTCCCACTGGCATCCTGTAATGGCTGACCAGCAGGGGAGTGACAAGCCCTTGCTGCCGTTTGCCAGAATCACTAAAAACAATGCAAAGAGGCCAAGGGAAAGAAATGGGAACAGGCGGCCAGGCCTCACGCAGCCCCTGCACGAGGGCTCCAGGGCCAGCACCATGGCTGGGGAGCCCGGGCGGCCACCACACACAGGCTGGGTGTGTGGCTGAACTGGGGGTGCTGGGCCGTGCTGGGGGCACTGGGCCGAGCTGGCGGCACTGGGCTGAGCTGGCTGTGGGAGGGTGAAGCACTGGAATACAC